ACACACATTGTTTAAAGATCTAAAACATAATAGACACTTGATTTAGGTAATTTTTTCCACACTTCCCTACTCCCACACATATGCTTAGTCCTTTTTTTTTTTTTTTTTCCCTACTACTATTCAGGCAGCTCTCTGCTTTAACTGGGATGGAGGGGGAGTGCGGGATGGGGTCTGATTTCTGGTTCCCCATGTAAGGAGCTTGGAAGCCGCAACCCCATTTAAACAAGTAAAAAGCTGAACAGACAAAAAGCAACTCATATCCATAACAGAGGAGAGAACGCAGAGCAAACCACTGCCTCCAAGATTAGAGAGACAGGCAAATATAAGGGATTACCTTTGGGAAGACATGCAGGGCCGGAAACCAGGAACTGTAATTGACGAATTGCTGGAGGCTCAGCAGGAACAAGTCTGAGAGTTAAAACTCCACAGGGACCCAGTAATACTGTGAGCTCTACCTCCGGAAGCCCGACCAGATTCCCTCAGGAAACGTCGGAGAAAAATCCCCTCCTGCTTCTAGCAGAGGGAAGGAGAAAAGGAGCCATCTTGAAATATCCCAGAGTACTCTGTTCTAGTTAAAAAGCCTGCCCGCAGGGGAAACTAGTTAACCAGAGCCTCACCTGCTGGATTATTATCAGAGCCTGATTGACTTGGGGGAAGGGAAATACCCAACTCCAGCCCACTCTAGCCACCCTGTTCCACCTAAGGGGGGAAGAAAAAACCGAGAAACTCTTGCGAAATTCACAGTCCAGAGGCCTAAGCTCACCAAAAGACTGAGACCTGACCACTGGACTATAGAATGCTTCCCCTGCCCCACACCGCACCACCACATGACTATAGGCTTATTTATAGCAGTTCTTTTTACCTGATACATCATGTTAAGCTACCAAGAAAAAAATGACAAAGCATACCAAACATCACAAAAGACAATTTGCAGAGACAGAGCAATCATCAGAACCAGACATGGCAAGGATGTTGGAATTATCAGACCCGGAATTTAAAACTATGATTTATATGGTAGGGGCTCTAATGGATAAAGTAGACAGGATGCAAGAGCAAATGGACAATGTAAGCAGGGAAATGGAAATCCTAAGAAAGAACCAAAAAGAAATGCTAGAGATCAGAAACACTGTACCAGAAATAAAGAATGCCATGCATTTGATGGGTTTATTAGCAAATTAGACATGGCTGAGGAAAGAAGAATCTCTGAGCTTGAGGATATCCAAAAAAAACTTTAAAAGATAAAAGCAAAGAGAACAAAGACTTAAAAAGACAGAACAGACTCTCCAGGTACTGTGGACAATTACAAAAGGTGTAACATACGTGTAAGGGAAATAGGAGAAGAAAGAGATAAAAGGAACAGAAGAAATGTTTGAAACAATAATGACTGAGAATTTCCCGCAATTAATTTCAGATACCAAACCACAGACCCAGTAAACACAGAGAACACCATACAGGGTAAATACCAAAGAAAAGAGATTGAAATCACCTGAGTCCTCCTCCCTTCCATCTGAGGGTTGTTAACCAGCATAGATTATTACAGGAAGCCTTGACAAACACAAGTTTGTGCGCCTGACACACAGTGAGGCCCAAAACCCCAAAATATTGGAGTCCGGAGCAGAGAAAGTTTTATTGCAGGGCTCAGCAGGAGAATGGGCATCTCATGCTCAAAAGACCTGAACTCCCAGTCTTTTTTTTTTTTTTTGGTACGCGGGCCTCTCACTGTTGTGGCCTCTCCCGTTGCAGAGCACAGGCTCCGGACGCGCAGGCTCAGCGGCCATGGCTCACGGGCCCAGCCACTCCGCGGCATGTGGGAGCTTCCCGGACCGGGGCACGAACCCGCGTCCCCTGCATCGGCAGGCGGACTCTCAACCACTGCGCCACCAGGGAAGCCCTCCCATAGTCTTTTATACCATGAATTTTTTTTCAACTTCTTTATTGGAGTATAATTGCTCTACAATGGTGCGTTAGCTTCTTTTGTGAACAAAGTGAATCAGCCATACATATACACATATCCCCATATCCCCTCCCTCTTGCGTCTCCCTCCCACCCTCCCTATCCCACCCCTCTAGGTGGTCACAAAGCACCGAGCTGATCTCCCTGTGCCATGCGGCTGCTCCCCACCAGCCATCCATTCTACATTTGGTAGTGTATACATGTCCATGCCACTTTCTCACCTTGTCCCAGCCCACCACTCCGCCCCCCACCCCATGTCCTCAAGTCCACCCTCCACGTCTGCATCTTTATTTCTGTCCTGCCCCTCGGTTCTTCAGAACCATTCTTTTTTTACATTCCATATATATGTTACCTTAAGGTATTTGTTTTTCTCTTTCTGACTTACTTCACTCTGTATGACAGACTCTAGGTCCATCCACCTCACTACAAATAACTCAATTTCATTTCTTTTTATGGCTGAGTGACAGATGAATGGATAAAGAAGATGTGGCGCATATATACAATGGAATATTATACCATGAATTTTGCTGGGGAGGACCAAGCAGCCATTGTAAATGGGGGCCAAAAATTATCTGCAAGAAATGAAGCAAGAGAGCAATTTTTGGACAAATATGGAATCCCTACAAATAGTTTACAATATACTTCTCTTCCTTACTGGCAACTGGTTCCAGTCAATTAAAGACTAAAGAAAGGTATTTGAGGACAAATGGAAAGGGAAAAATGTAAAGAAAATAACCACAATAAAAGAAATCACCAAGACTTCCTTTTTCCCCAGGCTGGGGCCTCTGAGGTCTGGTGGGGTCTGTTTAGCCACAGCAGTGCTGGTCTCCAAAAGAATGTGCCCAGGCAAAGCAGGCCTCCCGTGGCTTTTGTTACAGGACTATAGTGCTTCATGATGCCTGCCAAAGTCAAGGAGGGAAACACTGCCCAGGGTCAGTCCTCAGCACAGGTGGGAAGTGACAGAACTTGTCCTCATGGTCCCCAGGGGCACCTACTCTTTCCGCCTCTATTTTATTGTTCCTTTGAGGGGACTTTTGCTTCAGAAACCCATTCCTCTCTCACGTTTTCTCCTTGTTGCCAGGTTTCAGGGAAAAATGTGGTACCACTAGTGTAAAATAGGGGTGCAGAACAGTCAGATGGGGTCAGGAACCAGCACGTAATAGGTTTATCCTGGCTACTATCATATAATTAGCTGTGTGATTTTACTTCTCTAAACTTCTTGCAAAGTGGGGGATAATGAAAGAACAAGAGCATAGATTGTTAGGCCGTTTTAGTGAAATAATGTATTTAGAAAACAACCTCATTTCTTATTGCTAGTATGAGAGGTTTTGTCCCTGGTTAAAGGCATTTCAGACCTCAATAATCAGTTGCAAGAATAATTTTGGAGAATTCTGGCCTTCCCAGACCTTCCAAAGTGGGCAGTAGTCTCCTCCACCTCATGGCATGGCCAGCCTTGACTGTGAGACTTGAGACCCTCAAATCCTTCCATTGTCCCGCTCTGTTGCACTGTCTTGAGATCAACATTTTCCACTTAATGAGGCAGCCCAATTTCATCTATCAAAATATAATGATCATTTTCTCCTAGACAGTAAAAATTTTACTTCCATAGTTATCTGAGTGCAGATGGTAGAAGAACTGAGTGAGAATGTTGTTGAACATATGATGGGGGAGGGAGAGGCTGTCTGGCATGGAAATCCTTGCTTGGCACGCACTTTTTTGTCTTATTTATAAATCTGTGTCATTCTGAGTCAGCACTGATTACCACGGGCACAATTATAGTAATCTGCCAACAAGCGCTAATATTGCTAATAATTTCGCTTTGCACAGTGATTATCTGAGAACCACTCTCAGCTGTTGCATCAGTATTACAGCATTTGTTTAACTCCAACTTAAGCCAGTGCTGGGAAAGGCAGCACTTGTTCAGTCAAAAGGAGCTGTCGAAGAGGACAGCCTGCAATTATCTCAAACATGCTGTCATCAGGGGGCTTGCAGGCCTGGCTCACATGCCCTAGGATCGATGATGACCTTTAACAGATGTAGATTCTCAATATAAAAACCCTTCAGTCCAGAGCAGATAAATGAGTGAGGCTTTGTAGCTGGCTGCCTCATCTTTCCATCTCTGCTTGGATAAGCATCTTTGGTTGAAAACTTTTAAGGAGCCAGACCAGCAGCCCCACCAGCAGATCTTCTGCTTGGGTATCCCCGAGCTCAAATCAACCAAAACCACTCCCATTTTTGCCAGTCCCTTAAACCATTTTTTGATATTTCATTTTCACTTTTCTTTGGAGAGAAACATCCCCCTCTCCCTCCAACAAGATTAAATCCACTAACTGTGAGAATGTAAAGCTAAACTCCCTGCCCCAAGCCTTCTTTTGAAAACAGGCTGTCCATGTGTTTCGTACTCATTCTTTCTGTCAGCATTCACCACAACCCGCTACTCTTTTTTTTTTCTCTTTGCGGTACGCGGGCCTCTCACTGCTGTGGCCTCTCCCGTTGCGGAGCACAGGCTCCGGACGCGCAGGCTCAGCGGCCATGGCTCACGGGCCCAGCCGCTCCGCGGCATGTGGGATCTTCCCGGACTGGGGCACGAACCCGTGTCCCCTGCATCGGCAGGCGGACTCCCAACCACTGCGCCACCAGGGAAGCCCACAACCCGCTACTCTTGATAAGCTTGAGCCTGGGAGAGGTAGATCTGTAGGTAGAGACATACGTAGACAAGGGAGGTAGATGGGCAGAGAGGGTCCGCTCAGGAGAAGAGAGAATCCAAGATGAGGAGGGAGTAGAATGGCTGTGTACTTACAGCTCTGTCCCCAGCCCTGGAATCCCCGCTGCTGGAGGAAAGGGCCCTCTACTAAGATCTCCTGTCTTCAGCCTTTCCTCACCTCAGCCTATCTCCTACTTCGCAGGCATCTAGTTGATTAATTTGTGGCCTCCTCCTTTAAGCAAGTTTTGAGGTGAGCAGGGCAGGTGAACCAAAGAAAAAAAAGGGAACTAAATTAACGTTCCCATTCTAGGGCCTAGGAAGCCATCAATTACATTTTACTCACCCTTCGTCCACTGAAAAAGTAGATAGCTCCTTGGATCAGCCCCTTGGCTGCCTTTTAATGCTTTGCCACTTTTTGCATCTTAAACAATGGGCTTGAAGTGTTGAACACGGAATCCTCACATAGTAGATGCTCAATAAGTGTGAATCCACCTGCCTCTCGCTGGCAACTTAAGGCCATACAATAGTAGTTGTGTGGTAAATTCTGAGCTTGGCCACAAGACTCCTTTGTGAGGCAGAACCTGACAAGCAAAGGAGAGGATTATAGGTGATGCTTGTGAAGCACTGAATGGTTAAAGTCCACATAAACCTCATGAGGGATTCTTCCTTCCGTGCCACAGATGGGGAAAGAGGCTTGAGATATCAAGAGAGGTCACCCAGGTAGAAAGGGGCAGGGCCAGGACTCAAACTCAGGACTTCTGACTCAAAGGCTTCTTCTCCCAGGCTCCATCAGCCAAACATGTCTCCAGATATTGCCAAATGTTCTTTGGGTGGCAAAGTCACCCCCGGTTGAGAACCACTGCACTAGATGAAGAGCTAACATATCTGAAGCATGTGCTATGCGCCAGATGCTTTATTGATGTGATCTACAATTTGACCTTCACAATAACCCTGTGAGGTGCTTTACAATGTGCAAGTGAAGAGACAGAGGCAGAGAGGTTAAGAACACTCAACTCAGAAGCAGCAGAGCTGGGCTGTGAAGAAGGTCTGACTGATTCCCATGCTCACAGGAGCCAGAAATAACAATTAAAAGAAGATCAATAAAGGCATTTGTGGGTGTTCTACAATTGTTCATTTAATCACCATTCTTATTTTATATCCTTCCTAGTTCAAGAAAGGTTGAAGTCTGAAAATATATTTTAAGAACTGATTTCTGTTTTTCTCTCTAGGACTGTTAAGTGCAGTATTCATAATTTCACTGTATATTTTCTCCAGTGTCATTTCAGAAATGCACTAAAAATTGGATATACTTTCACGTGGAATGCCTACCGGGCTCCCTCTGGTGTCAGCTAAGATATTTGCCTTTAAAGAAGCTCACGTGTGACCACATTTCAAGTTAATGAGGAATATGTTCTTCGTCAAGCAGCAATTTAGAAATTTCAACTGGCTCTTACTGACTACATTGTAAATTGTTTTATTCAGATTTCACAAATATTCTATTAAGGGTCCAACATAACTTAGGTTTTATAATGTTAGAGAACAACAAATATGAATTGTTTAAATTATTTAAACAATTGCTTGAATTGTTTAAATTATTTTTTAATGGATCGAAAGAGACATTTCACAAGATGGAACTAACTGGAAAAAACAAACATATATATATGAATGAAAACGTGCAGTCTCACAATGATAAAAAGAAATGCAAAAACAATTTAAAACATTAAAACAATAATGTGGTAGCACTTTACCCTAAAACTTAGGCAAATCTTTATTTAAACAACACCAACTTCTCTGAGAGCGAAATAAAACAGATATATTTTCATGCTTGGCTGTGGCATTTTGATGCAACCGTTTGGAAGAATCATTTAACAATTGCAGACAAAGCCCTAAAATCATGTATACTCTTTGATCCAATCATCCTATATCTAGTAATGGTTTAAGGCAACTACTTCAGAAGGAGGCAAAGCTATTTGCATGTTCATTACAGCATTGACTGAAATAATGAAATATTATTACAAGACCATAATCTTGAATGATTTACAGAAACTAAATAAAGAAGGGCAGGAAGAACATTCCGGGGGGAAATACAACTAAGAAAGACAAAAGTGAATTAAATTCACAGAACTGCAAGTCTATTGATATAACCACAAATGGGAGACTGTGATAAGAAAAAAGCCCAGTGAGGTAGGCAGGGGCTAGATTCCACAGCTTAGCTTGGAATCTGAATTTTGTCCTGAAAGCTAGGGGGGGAGCAGTTGAGAGATGTTGGAGGAGGTCATCAAGAGGATGTGACCACTAGTTGACCCTTGAACTGGAGACTCCTCACCCCTCCCCTGTCCTTGGAATGAACTTTCCACCCACTGTCCCTGTACTAGGAGCCACTTCAAAGATGCAGCCTTGAGAGAGTAATGTGTTACTGAGGCCACCTGCACTGTATTCGTGGCTGAACCCCCTTAAGGCCGCTATATAAACTCTTTAAGATTCTGGTGGGCAGATGCAGGAATCTGCTCGTCTTGCAGCTGCACAAGACAAACCTCATATGTAAGTTCCCTTGCTTATTAAAACTGCCACCCACCAATCTGGAGTTGTCTGCTTCTTTTTTCTGTCTCCCCTTGCCCTCTGTAACGATGGCCAGTTTTGAATTTCACCTGGGGAACTACCAAGATTGTGAACCAATAATTGGTGAGCCAACCAGGAGACTAAAGAAATGGGTCTTGGGAAAGGGGCACCTGGGGGGAATCCCAGGTTGGTCATCAGCCTCTGTGTGGGGAGGGTGGCCTGTGTGTTAGATGCCTGTGGACTGTTGCGTGAGTACTGGGTGCCCTAAAAACTCAGTCTGATCGAATCCGCGTGACTGAGGTGCCGCACAGAGTGCACCGTTAGAAAGTTGGAAGAAGAGCTGAGATTTAGGAAGGACGTGTGGGTGTCCACTACTCTGCTGGCTTCAGAGCTGGCAGTCAAGGTAGGAGAGCAGGATAAGGTGTAGACTTTAGGGTGCCATTTTGCAAAGCTAGGAGGGCACAAGCTACTACAGATTAAGGTCTGAGAACTGACAAAGCCAGATTGGGACACTAAGAGGTGGAATGCCTAGGAAAGTGAGGAGAACGAAGAGGATGTTCATGAAGAGGATGAAGAGGTGAGTGACAGCGAAATGGACAGAATGTCCCATGCTGTCCAACCCCTAATTCAAAAAAAGCAAAAGCATAGCAACAACAATGTCAGCCAGCGGGGCAGCCCCCAGTTCAGGAAATGTTCATGATGAGAGACTATATACCTGCTGAGCTTATTAATACAGCTGCAATGTTCCAGCCAAAGGCCAAGGAAAGTATCCAGGCATTATTAATGAGCACAGCTACGGGGTACAGGGGGCAATGGTGTTTCTCTGATTGGGCAGGAGGCAGAGAAAATGAGCAACATCCCCACACACCCTGCCCTCTGGCAGCACCTGCATCGTGTGGGGGTTCAAGGTACTCGCTCCTTCATAGATTGAGTCATTCTATCCTACAGAGAGGCTTGGCCCAATTGGGGGGAGGGGGGAGATATCCCCAGGTATGCGGGATTCTAGAAATCTATAGAGAAGGTACAACAAATTCTTAAGGAGTTAGGAATGAGTCAGGTCATCTATGCCCCTGATCTCTGAAGGCCCTGACTGGGCTACATTCACTGCAGGAGTGAAAACCATGATACTCCAGTCTCCCCCCCCCAGCACCTGGTATGTACACCGATGTCCATGTTGGGTCCAGTCGTGGGACAAGATATTTATGTTGGGCGATCCATTGCTAATCTTAGGGGAAACTGACAAACCCTGGGAGTGGGTACAGGCTGTGGGAAAGACCTGAGACAGAGAGGGAGCTGGAGAAGCCAGTAGGTTATCCCAATCAGCTGTAAAGCTTCTGGTAAAAGTAACCTGGAAGCAAGTGGGGTTTGACCTCATTGCTGCAGGGACTCCACCTGAAAAGATAGACCAACAACCCGATGCTGTGTTGGTCAGCCTGTAAAAAGCCTTAAAACCTGAACCACAGTTCAGACCTGCCCCACCTCCTGCCATTACCTTTCCTGATGTCCCACCTGCTCCAGTGGAGACCTCAGAGACACGGTCTTATTCGTGGTGGGTGCCCCCACATACTGGGTTTAGGATGTAGCCAAGACTGTCTCCAGGAGAGGGCCGTTGCAGGTGAATGGAGGCTCCATGTTGTGCTCACTATTCATTGTCCCCCAGAAGTAAACAAAAGGTGATGGCTCTGGTTGACACTGGAATCGAACGTACTCTAATACACTGTCACCCTCAGGGGTTTTCTGGCCCCTCAGTGCCATCGATAGTTACAGATGGCAAACAGTTATGGCCAGGAAGGTCCTTTTGACACTGACATTGAGCAATCTCCCCCATGAGAATATGAGGATTTTATCCCTCCAATTTCAGAGCACATACTGGGCACTGATATTCTACAAGGTCAAAATCTGCAAACCTCTATCTGTGACTCCCACTTCCGGTTAATCAAACCAGTACTGAGGGGAAATGCCAACTGGGAACCAGTAAGTCTACCACCCCCAAGTAGAGTGGTAACTGTGAAGCAATATAAATTGCGTGGGGGGGGGGGTGGTAAGGAAATAGGAGAAACAATCCAAGAACTGCACCAATGTCATATTATTCTGATTATAATCAGCAGTAAGATGAGAAAGACCCCAATCACCACTTTTATTTATCATCATTCCTGACTATTAGACAATTCATTTAGACAAGAAAGTTAACTATTGAAAATGACAGGAGCAACATTATATGATTTTCTTGCCTACTTGAAAACCCTAGGGGAAAAAAAGCTAGAAAATGGAAATGACAGAATTCAATAAGGAAGCTAAATACGAAATTACAATACAAAACTCGTTAAGTTTCTACCTATAAAAAACAGTCAGAAAACATAATAAAAAGTCCCTTTTAATATGTCCCTAAAATGTGAGAGATCTTCAAGATGGTGGAAGAGTAAGATGTGGAGATCACCTTCCTCCCCACAAATACATCAGAAATACATCTACATGTGGAACAACTCCTACAGAACACGTACTGAACGCTGGCAGAAAATCCTCAAACTTCCCAAAAGGCAAGAAACTGCCCACGTACCTGGGTAGGGTAAAAGAAAAAAGAATAAACAGAGACAAAAGGATAGGGACGGGACCTGCACCAGTGGGAGGGAGCTGTGAAGGAGGAAAGATTTCTACCCACTAAGAAGCCCCTTCGCGGGCGGAGACTGCGGGTGGCGGAGGGGGAAAGCTTCGGAGCCGCGGAGGAGAGCACAGCAACAGGGGTGCGGAGGGCAAAGCGGAGAGATTCCCGCACAGAGGATCGGTGCCGACCAGCACTCACCAGCCCGAGAGGCTTGTCTGCTCACCCGCCGGGGCAGGCGGGGCTGGGAGCTGAGGCTCGGGCTTCGGTCGGAGCGCAGGGAGAGGACTGGGGTTGGCGGCGTGAACACAGCCTGCAGGGGATTAGTGCGCCACGGCTAGCCGGGACGGAGTCCGGGGAAAAGTCTGGACCTGCCGAAGAGGCAAGAGACTTTTTCTTACCTCTTTGTTTCCTGCTGCGCGAGGAGAGGGGATTCAGAGCACCACCTA